TTGTACAGAAAAATTCGCAGAGTGCAAGGATGTACAAAATCCAAGACTCCTTTGACCGTTTAATGGCCACCCTTTAACTACGATGTGTCTTTAATAGCAAAAACGGAGGCCCCCATCAAACCGTTCTCAATGCTCCCGTTTCCGTAATCAGAGCAACACCCCCGCGCCAGCACGCAAAAGAACTCGACGAGAAAAAAGCACCCTTACGAACTAAACGAGCGCGGTTAATGCACACCCCGCCCCTTAGGAAAAAAAAACACATCCATTCGAGAGCTCAAACGGAGCGTTATATTACAGCCCTCGACCCGTTTAAAGACGAAAAAAAAGGAAAATCCTCCGCACGAGACCACATTGAGAGTCCTGTCCGCAAAATTTTCATTGCCAAGTTCCATCATTAGGGCCGGGGGTGGGTATCCAACGGGCTCGAAAATTAGGCCGAGCGCGCCCTGGCATTCATAATTTCCCTTTAGTGCTCTTTCGGTCTAAAATCACGCGTAAAGAACGAGGAGGGTGGCGGGTGGAAATAAGAAAACGCGAGCACATCCAGCCCCCCTCGTTAGGGGAGGCTCCGGAAACGCTTCCATTATGCCCCTTCGAGCGCCTCTGTGCACGCATCACACGACTTTGGTACATACGTTGGGTGGGCGTGCAATATCTTTTTTTTTCCCGTCTTGTTTTTTACATTGTTAATTAAGCTCCCCCTTCGTTGATTTTCCCTGTTTTCTCTGCTTCCTTTTTTTTCCTTTTTTCAGCATCTGCTGCTGCGCGCGATAATTACGTATGCGCGTAGCTCACCCCACCTAGATGCTGTATAATAAAGCTGCGAGGGGACGAATCTTGTAGTGCGAATGCGTTTCGATTAATTGAACTCAGTCACGTGTAAATAACAAAATAAAATTTTTTTTAGAGATGTGTGAAACGATATCATAGTGGGATTCAATGAGTATACTCGGGTCGGTCTTTAATACATTTCTGTATGGAAATTTTACGAGACGCGATTTCAATGCATTATGTTTCCGTGACTTGTTTTAAAAAAATATTCACTGGATCACTCTAAAAATTCCACAGGCAGTTTATCGCCACACTGATCAAGATACAAATAAAATTCAATTCTTCCATTTGATTTGACTTTATTCAATGCAAAATCTGACGTATTAAAAATCCTTCTAGTGGTAACGAAAAATAGTTTATCTCTAAGATACTTTTGTCGATCGAAAAGACGTATTGAAACCAAAGTATTTGTTTTCGGCTAAAAATGTCGCTGGTGATGCATCGCCCCCCGGATGTGTTCTATAAATCTAAGGGTACACATCGACACTGTGGCCAGTAAATGAAACCTCCAAACGTCACCAAATACCGTAAATTAGGCAAACAATCGTTACGCCATTTCCTACCGCGTATAATATAGCTCCGCATCCTCCCATCGAACGCGGAAAAAGTAATAATAAATCGCGAACCAAATATAGGTCGACCCAAAGTACGTACCATGGGAGGAGGTAAAAAAAACAAAGTCTCGCAGATAAACGTATAGAAGACAAAATGAATAGGAGGAGGAGGAGGAGGAATGGACGGTTTTCGGGATCTCGTGTTATCACAGAGACGTTCGGCTCGTTTGTAAAGGACAACACACGCGACGAGGTCGAGGAATCGCGGTCGGCTATTTTTCATGTTGCTTTGAGAGCTGACGTTTTGGCGAGAGCTGAGGTTTGCTTTTTTCCTCATCCTCCTGTCGCGTTGGATAACTTGTTTGGCATCAAAGACAGTTTGCGGTGCAGTGGAATAAATCCAGAAATCCGCTCCATCGCGTGATTTTCGTTGCGGGTGTTTTCTTTTTCAGGGTTTTTCGTTTGATTTTTTTTTTTTTTTACTCAGATTTTTTAAGTGACTCGGCGTGACGTGGCTTGAGGACCCGAATTCTACTCGAAAAAATTCAGAAAGATAAATTTTACTCTGCATTGATTCGTAGGTGAAAATCAGGGCAAGATTTTTTATTCCATGGATAAAAAGCGTTCCACATTAAAACAATCGTTAACGTACACGTCCAAACTCGTCAAGTAAATCGAAATTCATGAAACGGTACAACCAAAGAATACAGAGCAAAATCACAGCACCGCCTGCGAGACCAAATCTTCGCAAATACACACAACAAAGCCCCGATTGCATTTTCCTCCGAAACAACATGCCTTTCCGTGCAATATTCCAATAAGAGGCACAAACCGAAAGAGAGAAAGAGCAAACAAGTTTCTCAAAGAAAGCCAAACAAACAAATTCCACCCGATATTCGATAGTTCTCCCGAGGTATTGTGTCCATGTGTGCCTGCCCCACTTTCGGGCAGCCGAGTTCATTGCATATTTGTCCGCCAGCCAGTCTCGATATCCAGCTCCAATCCAACGTACAGTCAGTGGTGTGGGGAGCTTTTCCTTCATTAATCTTTCTGTCCTTCAACGCACGAATGATCAAATTATTTCGAGCGCACGCTGGTCTTTGACATTGTTCATCATTCAGGATTTCGTGTTTTTTTTTTTTTTTTTTTTTTTTTTTTTTTTTTTTTTTTTTTTTTTTTTTTNTTTTTTTTTTTTTTTTTTTTTCTATGACACGTGGTTCGGGTCAAGAGGTATACGGATGCATTTTGAGGTCAGGAATATTTCCACCAGAGTTCTTTTGAAAAACAGAAACAGAGAGAGGAAGAGAAAAAAAAGAGGTATTTCTCTACAGTTCCGCGTATTCATACGTATCGAGCCGGCTGACTATACGTCGACCCGTACTACTGAAAGCAACGAGACCCGCGCTGGCAACGCATTCCATCTCGTTATTACACGCAGCAATTAAAATTGGCCAATTTTCCGCGTATAAGCAAGCTCGTCTTCGTTTCTGTTTTTCTCGCTCGTGCGTGTTTTTTTTCAATGCGCGCTCTTTCTGCGGAGGAAAAAAAAGAGGGGCGCGCGCACAGCTGACCGGTCAGCCGTGTTCACTCTGGCGAATTGACGGGCGCATGAATGGCACGGAGGGAGCACTTTGGACAATGTTTCCGATTAGAAACGAGGGTGGAAAAGTACGGCCTTTTTGCCGAGGAATGGCTTTTGTGCGTCCGGCGCTTTTTTTCCTCCCTACGTGTGTTGCAGGATTTTTTGTTTTTTTCCCCGCCCGAAGGTTTTGACGGGCGGCTTTAATTAACGTGATTTTTTGTCACGTCACCATAATGGGAGCGTTGGCAGAGTGTTGTTGCCTGTTGTATAAAGTTTTAGAGAGCGTATGTCCGTTTTTTTTTTTTTTTTTTTTTTTTTTCAATTTTCGATACATCGGTTAGCAGATCGAAATGAAAAAATCCAGTTTTAGTGTAAAAAATATGGAAAAAAACATTTCATATTTCACTTTTAACTCCATGTATACCTAAGAGAGAGAGAGAGAGAGGTGAAAGAGCTTAAAACTGTATCCGTTCTATATAACATTGGCTGGTAGAAGCCATAGAAAAAAAAAATACACTTTTAGCCCTCTCGATTGTGCGGATGAAAAAAAAAGAAAAAAAAAATTGGGAAACCCATCTCGCGTTTTGAACAAACTCAGCGCACTTCGCGAGGGGAAAGGAAAAAAATTCTTGGTTGTAACGCACTCGTCATAATTACACGGGAGTGAGCAAACAGTATCGCCCCCCCCCCCCACAGGATTGAAAAAGGCTCCACGTAACGGATGAATAATCCATCGGCCGATCGTCACGACGGAGGCTTCGATATTTCAGCTATTTGCCTCACTCGTTCGTTCTCTCGTGCACATGGACGAAAGGGGCCAGCTTTCATCGAACGGAGAACCAAAGGAGGTCCCACAATGCGCCGATCCCATTGAATCGCCAACGCCAAGGGAAACTCGGCCAACTAATTGCCCCCTCCTTCTCTCTTATATACATATAGCTTCGAAGTTGTTTCTCCGTAGATTCGATTTATTGAAGTGCAGCGCTGTTTGACCTCCCCCACGCCCAACCCCTTCCTTTACTATACACTCGGAGAGTTCCTGTGGCAACAGAGTTGCTTGCTCGTAGTGTGCGTGTATGCACAGAGTGCGGGGGTGGCCGATATTTACGATTGAATTCCATTTGGTCTCGAAATTACGAATCGTCGTCCAAAGTTGGCCTTGTACCGATGCAAGAGCAGAGACGCACTTGACCCGAACAGAATTCGATTTCTCTCTAAAGACGCTTTGCGGTGTTTGCGTTGATTTATTTCATCAGAATTTTTTTTCTTTTCATTGGCTAACCCGCTGAGGATTAACGATCGGTAGGATGTAATTTTTTTATCGAGAGGGCTGGGTCACTCTTACGATATTGGCCGGCGATGATGACGCAATCTGTTGAGTGCAGGGTTCACTGGACTCCATATCCTCACGGATTTGGGGCACAAAGGGCAGACTCGTCGAGCCAAAGTGGCCAGGATAAAAGAAAATGACTCGTATGGACTTGACAGCAAAGATCATTGTACAAGGTAGAAATAAAAGGTGATTGGTACTATTGATCCAAACATCATGAGAGCTCAATTTTAATTTGAAATCGCAATTCGAATCACCTGTATCATCATCTTTGCATCGCCGAAACAAATACACCATTGGAAACTGAAACGTCGACGTTGCACAATGAACGCCCAAATCACCTCGAGAGCCCATGTAATATTCATTTGACTAATAATAGAGGGGTCACAATGGAGCCACTGACATAACTAAATACGCGCTGTGTGTGTGCTCCTATTTACACCCCTGAAATTAATGCGGACAACGAGAGACGGCAACACAAGTGTATCAGACCCCATACGCCGAGCAAAGAGCGCCCGACGCGTACCCACGTGCACGTGCTCTAATAATGCCATTCGATGCGACTACTGTACCGCATATATCCCCCTCCCTCTCTCTCTACGAATGTATATCCTTGACAGAACGCAACGCAAGCGAGGAGCGTGCCCGCATGTACAATCCAAAGGGCATTGATTTGACTTCATATGTGTGTGTGTGTGTACAGGCAGTCGTGAGGGAGCTGAATAGATTGGGCATGCTGGTCGATCTGTCGCACGTCTCGACGCGCACGATGAACGCCGCCCTCCAGACGACCAGGGCGCCGGTCATTTTCTCCCACAGCGCGGCCAGGGCGCTGTGCAATTCCAGCAGAAACGTGCCCGACGACGTGCTCAGGACTCTGGTGAGTGTTGTACTCCCTGTTTATCATCTTTTCTCCAATCTTACAACTACGTATATTTATATTTGTATTCTTTTCTCCAATCTTACAACTTTGTTACAAAAGCAGCAAAGCCCTGAATCTCTCCATTTTTTTGCCACACGGAATGCAAATACCAATTGTTCTACTTAATTGTAAATCTAGAAAATTTAAAAAATTACTGTAAGGTTTATAATGGAAATCTGATCTCTTACGTAATGGATTCTTTATCTGTCGAACTTGACGCTGCTGTTTCAATCTCGATGAATGTTCTGCGTCCGTAGCTTGACGCCAAATTTAGTAAACATTTGAAGTTTTCTTTCCAACTTGCTCTTTTGTTACTATAGACATGTTTAAAACTTTTGTTAGCCCTAAAGACTGTTTTTCGTCAACTTTGTTAAGTTGCAATGTATTTTTTGGAAAGGTAGTTCGATGACCGATGCCCCTCTGAAAAGGCCCGATGAGCTTTTTAAGTAAACTCTTTCTTGACTAAAGTTTCCAGCAAACATAATTGCCTCTATACCTTAGGGTGTTTTTCTCTGGCCTGCTGTTGTAGCACCAGACTAATCTTGAGGTAAACTACAACGTCTGAAGCTTTAGAGCTAGTTGTAGAGCTCTTAATATCTCGTGGTATTACTCCAGAGACGATGGTATCTAAATCATCTTTTTTTTTGTAGAGCTCAGTCGTTTTTGTGATCTAAGGTGGAGAGATTGGTTCATTATGCTTGCCCGTTGGAGACTGTCCCGTTTGTTAGAGTTCTTTTTCCCTTCGTAGCTGTAAGGATCGCCTAGCGTAGACTTTGGAAAACATCGGTGATTCCTGATTAAATGCTTAAAAAGTCGAAAGAGTAATGTTATGTAGAGTCATCGATCACTGGGGTTCCCAGCCTTGCGACAAACAACTTCACTCGCGACATTTGCCAGTGAATGACTGACTTGGTTTAATATTGGCTCTTTATATGGTTTTCAAGTCGACGAGTCGTTGCTGGAAATAATAGTAAACATATACTTATTGGCAAGATAGTTTAATCTTAGGTGGCTCTAAAAAGAACCGATGAGATTGATGGTTAAGTAGGGAACGTAAATACTTATGATGGCTCTGAAAAGAATCAGTAGTGATACTTCTAGCCATAACTTATTATTATTCTTGATGTTTTATTAAAACTATTAATATGATTCCATTTATAAATGAAAAATCTTACTGCTTACATTAATAGATTTAATCAAACAATTGTATGTAATTAACTTACCTGTTGCAAAAAAAAACAGAGCTGCTAAAATATGCTTGCATTTTTTACTTAATTGAGCCTTGCCAGTACATGTCATGTAAAATTGACCACTCTCATTGATTCCTCCAACAATTTTTAAAGTCTTATTTTTGATATTGCGAGACTTGCATATTTCGTAGATTGTTAAATACATTTTTGTTGACTAAAAAATATATGTATTTTTAAAAATTAACGACACAATCCCTATTGAGTGTATGCTGCACAAATGTTAACATTACAAAATTTAGGATAAATAAAAATTGGCAAGCCACTTACTTTGCCAACAATGTTACAGCGCTAATCACAGTTACACTTCTAATTAACCTACCTATTACACACACTGTCACAACATTCAATTAATATTCATAAAAAATAAATTAATTACACTTGGGAGCACTGAATGAGTTTTGAGCCTGCAAAAAAGCCTTCTCTCGCTCCTTGCAAACTCACCAACAGATGGTGCGACCACTATGTTGCCAATCCCAATTTTGGCTGCCTGAACTTAGGGTTGCTCTTCTTGGCTTACTATTGTAGTATAATCTGCTCTGGTAGCAGCACCAGATTGTGCGTTCGAAGAACGGCCATAAAATCCCAAATTGCTAGAGCAGAGTGTGCTCTATCAACACGTCTTCTGGTATTTCGCTGGAGACGTTAGCATTCATAACGTCTTAGTATCGTAAACCACGGTGGTTCAGGATGGAGTTTGACGTAAGTTACTTGTCCATTAGAGAACAATGTTGTCAGTAGCCAGGATACCCAGCTGCAGGACTCCAAGCTCTAGGCTTCATGCACTGTCGGTAAACGACTGCGTATTTAGTATGTTGCTTGGACATTTTGTAACTATACTTATTTAATTCAGTTGCAAGTGGTTTTGATTTTACCTCGACGCCACCTACTGGATTCAGCTGAACTAAAGCGCAAAGATAGAGTATTTTGGAAAACTGTGAGCTCATTTATTGCTATTGTTATTAAATTTTTCAAGATTAAGAATATACTAAAACTATCTAGGAAGTGTCAAGAATCGATATGCAAAATTTTAACAAAATCGGTTCAGTAGTTCCCACGGTTAGCAATTACAACGGTTTTTATATATTATATGTTAGTAAGATACATTTGATATGTACTTTTCTAGAGGTGAAGCTATGTCAAATGTTGGCTTTTGAATTTTCTGAGTAGGTGAAAGCATGTTATTTAATCTAGTCAAAGGACGTTTATTAATACGATCAGAGGAAATGGCAGAAGATTCATTATTAAGTTGGGAAACATCTCATATCTTGTCTCGTATCTTGGATGGCCACTTTATTTTTAATCAAGTAAATAATTGATAATATAAGCGCCAATCATCCGATGACCTGGTGCGTTAACAAAAAACTTTATTATTAATAAAAAATATTAATAACAGAATTAAGTGCCTATCACCAGGTGACCCAGGGCGTTGAATAGCCACTTTATTTTTAATAAAAATAAATAACTGATAACATGATCACTTATTACTAGATGACCCACGGTATTAACTGGCCACTTGATTATTAATAAAATAAATAATTAATAACATTATCAACTACAATTAGGCTACCCGAGGTGCTTAACGGCTACTTTATTATACATTTAATACATATAACTCGAGTAGTCTTAAGATCTTAACATAATATCACCTATGGTGACACGAGGCACTTAGTCGCTTAACGTGGTTGCTTAAATAGTTACTCAAGCACTAATTAAACATCAAAGCCCTAAGTGACTTATGGTAAAAGGTGCTAATGTTAATACTAATCATTGCTTTACTCAATAATAAAGTGGCTACAAAGCACCCTGGGTTAGCCACGGTGATACATGCTTATAATAAATATAGGTATGCATCACCGGCTTATACGATTGCTTACTTATTTTAATCATAATAATATGGCCAGTAAACGTCCTAGATCATCTGGTGATATGAGCTTGCGTTATTAATCAATAATCGCTTAGTTAAGAAGGAAGCCACCAACCGTCTTAGGTTACCTAGTTATAGGCGTTTATGTTATTAATTAATTATTTAATCAATAATAAATTGGATAGTGAAGGCCCCCGGTTTACCTGGTGATAAGTGCTTATGTTATTAATTACTTATTTAATCAATAATAAACTGGCCAGTGAATATCTTGTATCTACAGAAAATCACTATCACGAAATATTAACCCTGAACTCGTTGACACGTTGCAACACGATGACAGTTAACCTAAAAATGAAATACACATGCTTTCTACTATGCACTAAACATCGCTTCTCCTTACAAAGATGACTGTCAGGGAGGGGAGCAATGTCTTAAGAAGCCTGTTGCGGCCGTCGTTCATAACTGATGACAGTTGTTGCCACCATGTGAGAGCCAAAAAAAACTTTAACTGGGCATTCTAAAACTATTTCAAATGTATTTCACTTACAATTTTACATGTATATATATATACATAGAAATTATTAACATAATTATATAGTGACATTTTTCCATTATTTAATGT